GAGGGCAGGAGCCCCAGGGCCACAGGGCAGGAGCCCCAGGGCCGCTCTGTCCTTGAGCCTGAGACCCAAGGCCCAGGAACCATGTCTCTGACGCACACACCCATCAGGTGAGCGCCTGCCTGGGTCGCCCTTGGCTGCCCCCTGGGGTTGCGCCCCTCCCAGCCTTCCTCCTTCCCATCCTCCCTCCCTGGCAGCAGCCTCGCAGTGTGGCTGCCTCCACCTTGGCCTGGCCCTTTCCCTGCTTCCCCTGCGGGTTGCTAAGCAACAGCCTCCTCCTGCCTCACGGCTCCTCCTTGGGGACTCACTGAGCCTGGTGTTTTGTTCTGCCAGGCAGCGGCTTCCTCCCCGTCCACGCCCCGCACCCAGGCACCCAGGCACCTGCTGCCTCTTCTCACCCTCTCCCCAGGGGCTGGGCCCAGGTGGGCACAGGAAGGCAGCTTGGCCCTGCCAGCCAGGGCCTCCTCCCCCTGCAGTCTGGGAGAGGGTCTGCCTGAAGACCCCTGCCACCTCCTGCCACCTTTCTGGGTGCCTGTGGCCCTGGCCTGGTGCCGTGGGTCCTTTCGGGTGACAGAGGGTGGTAAAGGTGGCGAGGACACCATCTTTGCCTGTTCTCCCTGTTTCTATTTGCACTTTGTTCAGGAGTTTGTGCAACTTGAGGGGATTGGCCACGGCCCGGGGACACCCTGGTTCTGCAGCGTCTTCAAGTTCTCTTAAAGTTTATTTTCATTTGAGAGACAGAGTGCCGGAAAGGAGCGGGAGGGAGACATTCCTCAGCTCGTTTACACCCCATTTGTCCCAGTGTTCAGGCATGGACTGTGCATGTCCCCCTTGGCTGCTCAGCCAGCCGTGCTGCGGTGCCTGCCCCAGCTGTCACACTAGCGACCTGTTGGTCCTTCTGGTCCAGGTGACACCAGGAGTGAGAGGCTGCTGATAGGGAAGGGCAGGGAAGGGCAGGGAAGGACAGGAAAGGGTATGGAAGGGTACGGAAGGGCAGGGAAGAGGAGAGAAGGGGAGGGAAGGGCAGGGAAGGGGAAAGAAGGGGAGGGAAGGACAAGGAACGGAACAGAAGGGCAGGGAAGGGAAGAGAAAGGCAGAGAAGGACAGGGAAGGGTAGGGAAGGGCAGGAAAGGGGAGAGAAGGGGAGGGAAGGGCAGGGTCTCTGGGCTGCAGGAAGGGTGCTGGTGCTGTGTCCCAGGGACTGCATTGGAGCCAGATTTTCTCAGTCACTTTTGACCCTTGGAGTCACCCAGTGTGCTCTCTGGGAAGTGTCTGCCCGGTGTGGATGTCCTTGCCTGCGTATGGGGTGTGACTGGGTCACCCTGCCTGCTTTGGCAGGGTGCAGAAGTGCTGTGAGGGTGCTGGTGCCCGAGTTGGGTGGGGACATATAGGCCGGGGGTCTGAGTGCCAGCCTTGTCTCAGCTGAGTCCCAGTGAGAGGGTGCTGTGTGCCCCTGTGGGGCAGTGTGAGGGTGCTGTGTGCCCACGTGGGGCAGTGTGAGGGTGCTGTGTGCCCCTGTGGGGCAGTGTGAGGGTGCTGTGTGCCCCTGTGGGGCAGTGTGAGGGTGCTGTGTGCCCCTGTGGGGCAGTGAGAGGGTGCTGTGTGCCCCTGTGGGGCAGTGTGAGGGTGCTGTGTGCCCATGTGGGGCAGTGAGAGGGTGCTGTGTGCCCCTGTGGGGCAGTGTGAGGGTGCTATGTGCCCATGTGGGGCAGTGTGAGGGTGCTGTGTGCCCCTGTGGGGCAGTGAGAGGGTGCTGTGTGCCCCTGTGGGGCAGTGTGAGGGTGCTATGTGCCCATGTGGGGCAGTGTGAGGGTGCTGTGTGCCCATGTGGGGCAGTGTGAGGGTGCTGTGTGCCCCTGTGGGGCAGTGTGAGGGTGCTGTGTGCCCCTGTGGGGCAGTGAGAGGGTGCTGTGTGCCCCTGTGGGGCAGTGTGAGGGTGCTGTGTGCCCCTGTGGGGCAGTGTGAGTGCTGTGTGCCCCTGTGGGGCAGTGAGAGGGTGCTGTGTGCCCCTGTGGGGCAGTGAGAGGGTGCTGTGTGCCCCTGTGGGGCAGTGAGAGTGCTGTGTGCCCATGTGGGGCAGTATGAGGGTGCTGTGTGCCCCTGTGGGGCAGTGTGAGGGTGCTATGTGCCCATGTGGGGCAGTGTGAGGGTGCTGTGTGCCCATGTCGGGCAGTGTGAGGGCATTTTGTGCCTGCATGGGGCGCTGTGAGTGCAGTGAGTACCCGAGTGGGGTAGGAAGGCCAGACTGGTGGTTCTGCTGGCCTTACGCAGTAGAGGTGATAGCAGGGCATGTGGACTTGGTACCGTGTGCCATGGTCGTGGAGTGGGCACTTGAGGGCTTTTGTCAGCTGCTCTCAGGGCGTGGAGACTGACTGTGGAGCACTGCAGTGTTGGGGGAATTGATCTGACCCGAGTGTCCCTGTCTCCAGCAAGTCCTGTGGACTGTCTCTGGACCATAGTGCCCCCGGTGACCACAGGCCCCCTGGTGACCACACTGCCCCTGGTGACCACACTGCCCCTGGTGACCACAGTGCCCCTGGTGACCACAGTGCCCCTGGTGACCACACTGCCCCTGGTGACCGCAGTCCCCCTGGTGACCGCCGTCCCCCTGGTGACCACACTGCCCCTGGTGACCACAGTGCCCCTGGTGACCACACTGCCCCTGGTGACCACAGTGCCCCCTGGTGACCACACTGCCCCTGGTGACCACAGTCCCCCTGGTGACCGCCGTCCCCCTGGTGACCACACTGCCCCTGGTGACCACAGTGCCCCTGGTGACCACACTGCCCCTGGTGACCACAGTGCCCCCTGGTGACCACACTGCCCCTGGTGACCACAGTGCCCCTGGTGACCACACTGCCCCTGGTGACCACAGTGCCCCCTGGTGACCACACTGCCCCTGGTGACCACAGTCCCCCTGGTGACCACCGTCCCCCTGGTGACCACAGTCCCCCCGGTGTCGCAGGAAACGCAGCACCGCTTCCTGCTCCTCTTGGGGGACTGCTCTGCACGGCCAAGGCCGCGTTGGCAGCACTGTGTCCTGGGACCCCACGACCCTGCTTGCTGCCTGGAGCTGCCATGGACACCTACATGTGCCCTCTTGGTGTTCCGAGTGTTGGCCTGGAGTGGGAGCCTGCCGCCAACTCCATGGGTGCCCCGGTGTGGGCCTAGGCCTCCCACCGCCTGGGGTCTTCGCGGGGGCTGCCTGGTGGGGAGAAGCCTGAAGCCGGTGGCCATCCACCTTGGACGTGTGTGCGCGGCCCTGGGCAGCCTGGCTGTGTCCGTTGGGCTGGGAGCATCTTGGGGCTCGGGCAGGGATGTGAGGGGTGCGTTTTCATCACCACTGAGCTGCAGAGGCAGCGTGTACCCCAGGAGCTCACGGCTATGCAAAGGGTGGCATTTCAGCCCCTTCGCAGCCCAAGGACTGCCCGCTTCCCTGGGCACACAGGCACACAGGTGGGATGGTGCCTTGCCAGCTGTTCAGTGCCTTCTTTTTGCTTTGTACCAGCTTGCCCCAGGGCAGCCCCGGCTGGCCCAACTCCTCACAGCACTTCCTGGTGCGACATGAGTTTTGTTTAGCTGTGTTCTTTTGCTGAGCAGCCGGAACCTCTGAACTTTTGGGGTGCTAGCTGTGTTGCTGCAGGTGGCAGACCCAGCACACACCCCTGGACGTGCCCCATGTGGTCCTAGGTCCATAATGTAGATGGCAGGCCCAGCACACACACCCCTGGGCGTGCCCCATGCAGTCCTGGGTCCATGCTGCAGGTGGCAGGCCCAGCACGCACACACCCCCTGGGTGTGCCCCACGCGGTCCTGGATACTTGCTGCTGTGTGTCTCTGTGTGCTTGTGTCTGTGATTGGAGTTGGCTTACACTGTTCTCAGCCCAGTGGTGTTCCATGGTGGAGGCTGCTTCCGCTTAGACCCTCTTGTGACCTGTGGGAGGAAGTGGGCTGGACGCTGGGCAGAGGACACAGTGGACAGCACCCGGCCTGCCTGTGCGCGCTCTCCTCTCTGGGGTTGCGGCTTCGGGCCCTGTCCGGCCTGTGCTCCCCCACAGGGGACCCCACACCTTTTCCCAGGACATCCTACTTCCTTGTAGGGAGAGTCACTGCACTGAATCCCAGTGTGCACCTGCCAGGGCCTGGAGCATCAGGCTCATCCGGGCGCAGCTGCGTGGGGCTTGTGGCTTTTCCTTGAGTGGAGGACGTGGGCAGGCAAAAGCAGGTGGGCACTCTGTGAGATGCCGCGAGCTGCCATAGTGGCCGTGGCCACTCCAGCAGTGCCAGGGACCCGTGTGAATGGCTGGGTGCCCGGGGCCTGCTGGCACCTTCAGGAGTGTGTTTTGCCCAGGGAGGAGGAATGGCCTCATTGCAGGTTTGTCCCCCACCTTGCCCTGCTGTTCCTGCTTGGACCTCTGCTGTGCCAGTGCCTGGCAGGTACAAATGGTTCCTGGGGAGGAGGCCGTCTCAGTTCCTTGCTCCCTGGTGACAAGCAGCGCTTGGGGATTGGGCTGTGTCTGGTGGGTGGCAGTGGGGCTGTGAGCCCAGCTGGCCACCTCCCAGTGCCCATGTCTGGGAGCACTGGGCAGCAAGTGGCAGGCCTGGTTCCTCCTGGGGAGGGAGGATGGAAAAGCCTTGGAGGGGTGCCCATGAGGACCTGTAGGAGGGCCGAGAACGGTGCAGGTCACAAAGGATGGCATGGAGACTGTGTGGCCCAGGACATGTGAGGGAGGAGGTGCCTGCCCCCAGTGGTCTAGCCAGTGTCGGTTCTCGCAGGCAGTGCCGTGCCAGGAGCTGCGTTTGCCTCACTGCTTGCGTGTTGGGAGGCTGTGGACTGCACCCCCGTGGCTGCCGGGCTCCCCGTGGCTGCCGGGCTCCCCGTGGCTGCCGGGCTCCCCGTGGCGGGCACCGTGGAGCGCCACTGACGAGGTGCATGAAGGCCTGGGCCGTGCTGGGGCTCAGAGCCTGCCGCCTGCCACATCTACCCCTGTGCTTCCCCCCAGGCCCGCCCATCTCAGCGCCCCAGGCTCTGGCTGCCACCCAGGACTCACCTGTGGGACCAGGGGTAAGTTAGGGGTCTGCTGTGTTGGGCTCGAGTTGCCCCGCTGTGGGCTGGCATGCATCTGTGCCCTTGTGCCCCCGTGGGACAGGACCTGGACTGTTGCTTGGTGCATTTGTTCCTGTCACCTGAGCTGTCCTCTCTTGCAGCTGTCGCTGTCCCAGCTCGAGGCGTCCCCGGTGTCCTTGCCTCAGCCCCACTCTGCCAAACCTGCTTGCCTGCGAGTGGACAGCTCTCAGCGCTCCCCAGCCCAGGCTGTGAGTGCGTCCTCTGTCCAGGATGGTGCCACAGCTCCTGACTTCTGTGGCCGTCCTGGGAAGGGATGGGTCCCTGGGGAATTCACCCAGTGTGGCCCACGAGCTGCTGCTCTGCCTGCAGTGTGAGAGTCCCCGGGCCGGCTGCCCTGTGCTGACCCACCCGTGGGCCCCTCCCCTGTGTGTGTAACCAGCTTGCCTTCCTCCTTCCTGGCTCCCAAGCACTGGGGCTGACCGTGCTGCCGCGCTGAGAGCTCGTGAGCCTGCCTGGGGAGCCGTGGGCGTGTGAGCCAGTTCCCCAGGCAGCGCTGCTGTGTGCCCAGCGTGGCAGAAGTAGGTGCAAGGAGACACAAGAGTGTTCAGGACTGATGGGGTCTGGTGCACCAGCCTGTGGCACAGCCCCACGCTGCGCTCTGAGTGCCGTGGGAGCCTCTGTCCCCTGTCCCTGAGACTTGCCGGGGTGTAACCGTCCCATCTCAGGCATCAAGTGTGTCCCGTGTGCTGTCGTGTTCACAAGGCCGTGACTCCTGCCCCGTTGCTTGTTGCCCTCTAGAGTGAGGTGTTTTCTCCGTGTGCCAGAGGCCCAGTTGACTTTGAAAGTCAGGTGGTTTTGAGGATGACTTGCTTGGGCCACAGATTCCAGTGCCGCTGTGCCTGCTTGGGTTTCCAGGCAGGGAGCGAGCTGGCGCCAAGTCCCCAGGGCGGGGGCTGGTGGCTTCCCCGGTGGGATCTGCTGCCTGCACCTTGAGGCTGTCCTGTGCTTGGCAGGAATGCCCGCTGGAGGGCAGGGTCTCGCACCTGGAGGCTGACCTCAGCCGGCCGGCCTCGGTCCTCGAGCCAGCGATTGCCGAGCAGTTACAGGAGCTGCCCATCACGCCCTTGCATGTGCCTGTTGTTGTGGGAGTCCCGACCAGGAGGTGAGGTGTGGGTCTGGGAGGACCCAGCATGGACTCAATGCCATGGTCAGAGCTGCGGGATTGGATGTGGCTGCCCTCGCTCAGAGCACGCTGTCCCCACAGCCTTGGTGTTGCCTGAGGCCTTTCTGTTGCAGCTCCAGAGGCCGGCTGTCCAGAGCCTCCTTGGCGCTCCTGCAGTCCGCCGGCTTCCCTGAGATCCTGGACGCCCACGGGCAGCCCGCCGAGGCCGTCAGTCCCGCAGAGTCCGTGCGGGTGGAGCCCCAGAAGGAGGAAGCGGATTGTCTGCGAAGCAATGAGGTCGTGCTCCAGTTCCTTGCCCTCAGCAGGTGCGTGCGTGGGCGCCGTGCAGCTGAGGCCCCGCTGCAACTTTTCTGAGGATGGAGGAAGGCTTGGACGTGGGGTTGACTTGGGGAGGACTTGGGACCCCCATGGTGCCCGTGGTGACAGCCAGAGCCTAGCGCTGAGTCTATTCTACTCCGTCTGTGCTCGCGGGGGCAGGCGGTTAGCCTGTGTGCTGTCCCATGGTGTCTGCTGACTCATTGCATCAGGAGGATGCGGGTGATGGCTTAAGCTGAGTCCTGCCGCCCCTGGGGCAGAGCTGGGTTCAGTCCCTGGTTCCCAGCTTTGACATACGTGGCCCAGTTCTGGTTGGTGTGGACATCTGGGACTGTGAACCAGCAGGTGGGGTGCTGGCTGTTTGTGTCTCTGCCCTTCAAGTAAACAGCAGTACAAATCCTCCCACGGGCGGAGTGTTTGCGGGTGCAGTGTGACCGAGGCGGTGTGCCTCAGCTGGGAGGGCCAGTGCCCTGTGGCCGGCTCCTCGAGGACCCGGTGTGGGGCTCCTCTGGTGGCCTGGGCCCCAGCGGCCGCAGCCACTGTCTCCCTGCGTGAGGGCTCTCTCCTGTGGACGCCTGATTAATGCGGAGCTGTTGTTGGATTCAGAGTGGCCCAGGACTGCCCAGGAACGCCATGGCCAAAGACTGTGTATTTCACCTTCCAGTTCTACCGCTTTCCCCCCACCACCACGCCGCGGCTGCAGCTGGTCAGGCTGGACGAGGCTGGGCCGGCCGGTTCCGGCTGCGGCTCCGGCTGCCTGACGCACATCCTCGTCCCGCTGGAGAAAGACGGCTCCTTTGACGCGGGTGAGTACTGTGCGAGTGGCCATCGCGCTCGCCTTCGCGTGGTTTGAATTGTATTGTGAAAAAAAAAATGCATGTGACAGATGTGACGTGGCACTGGAGAGGATGACGGAGTGGGTCCATGTGGCTGGCGCTCGGCTCTGACGGCTGTGCCCTGCCCTGCTCCCTGCCCAGACAGCCGTGTCCCGAAGCCAGCCCCAACTTTGGGTCATCACCCATGATACTTCCTCATGTGAGGGGTGGTCTCCAGAAAGTTCTAGGAGTGGGTGAGCTTTGGAAAAAAGCCTGCATGGGCTTCAGTGTCCTGGGCACCGGAGAGGCCCCGCCTGTGTCCCAGGGAGCCCACAAGGGCCCTGCATCGTGCTGGAGTGAGGGGTGTTGAGCCCCCCCACCTGTCATTGGGCCGCCATCTGGTTCTATGTTTTTGACATCGCGTATTCCTCTCTTCTATCTTCCTTACACGCTGGAAGTGAAATCTGATTGTGTTTTCTTATATATATATATGTATATATATATGTATTTTTTTTAAAGAAATAATTATTTGAGAGAGAGAGATCTCCCGTTTTCTAGTTTGCCCAGTGCCTGCAAGTGGGTCTGGCCGAAACTGGGATCCAGGAACTCCGTGTGAGTGTGTCCCAGTCGCTGGAGCCACCACTGCCGCCTGCCAGCGTCTGGTCAGCAGGAAGGTGGCATCATTTGCCCACTTGCCGGAGCCAGGTGTCATGGCTAGGTGCTGTGGCCTGGCAGGCTGGAGGCCCGTCCCTCGGCCGGGGTGGCAGATGCCACCTGCAGCACCGTGACATGTCCCCACGGTGGTCACCACTGCGTGAAGGTCAGTTGTGCCTTTGGGGCTGTTCCTTGGCGATGCCCTGCTTGCTGGGCACCCTGTTCGTCGGCTGGTACGCCCTGGACCGGCAGCGCCACCTCCCAGCCTGTCTGCTTCCCTCTTGGTCTACACGGGGCAGGCAGGAAAACATTCAACTCAACCTTTCTTTTTTGATTTTTCAAGATGAAGACACGGCCCCTCACATCCTGCCTTATAAGCAGCGGATTTAAGCTGCAGCAGCTACAGACAGACGTCTTTGGCATGTTGTCATGTGTTTGCATGGTTAGGATTGCCCCCTGTGCAGGCTGAGCTGAGGTCTGGGCTGCCACCGTCGGCCAGCACGGGAAACAAGGTGGGGAGGTTGATGACAGCAGACTGGCCGCCACCTCTGTCTCTTGCGTCAGCTGTCACAGCGTCAGGCCCTCCTGCTTCTGTCCAGTTCCCTGCTGGTGCGTTCGGGAAGGCTGCAGAAGATGGACCCCGTCCTTGGGCCCCTGCCACCCATGCTCGGGACCAGGGTGCAGTTGCTGGCCCCTGGCTGTGGCCTGGGCCAGACAATGGCTTTTGTAGCCGTTAGGCAGTGAACCAGTGACTGGGACCCAGAGGGGCCCACCCCTCCCCTCAGTGCTCTGCCTGTCAAACACACAAATAGATAAAGTCTTGAAAAAAAGCGGGGGGGGGGGGTTCCTAAATGGAAGTAGTTTAAACATGTTAGCATTACACAATGGAGACGGAAAATGAGGAGGGCTTCACAGCTCACAGCCCGAGTCTGTGGCCTGGGAACGCTGGGGGAGACGGGAGAGGTGGACGATCCGGGGCTGTGGGAGCCCGTGGCCTGGGAACGCTGGGGGAGACGGGACAGGTGGACGATCCGGGGCCGTGGGAGTTGCGAGGCCTGTGCACCTCTGGAACTCGACAGATCGAATAGCCACAAATTAGTGAGTGGTTTCAAGAGGTGACGTCAGGAAACCTGTACGTTCAATGTAGAGAATGTGCGTTAGTTTTGAGAGTCGCTGGGAATTTCTAAGCACCGATGGGCCATTTCTGCTTTTGGATCCGTGAGCAGGTGTCGCCAGTCCGAGTGAATCGATAGCAGATGTACTTCCCCGGGATGCTGAGGCCATCATGCCGCAGGCCCAGAGTCAATGGCTGCTTTTCTCAAATACCCCACACTATTGTTGTTTTAGGAAATTTTAAAGTTCACACTTAAAATTATTCCATGGATCAATAAAAAAAAATCAAAATAGAAACAGCCAAAAGAACATTGTAAGCGATAAAACAGTATTTCCTACAAAAACTTGTGGGCTGCAGGCAGACCGATGAGCACAGGGACACGTGCTGTGTCAAACGCTTGGGAGGGGAGGGAGGGAGAGCATACCGGGCTGATGGTTCAACTCCAGAATTTTGGGGGGACACAGGACAAATCCAGTGACAGAGAAGGCAAAGTGGTGTGAATGCCAAGACCACAGAGCCGCAGGGATGGGGGGCCGGCAGATGGCACAGCTGTGCTCCCACGGACCATGGAGAGTCAGGCTGGAGGTCATGGGTCCTCTTTCTGTCTGATGTCACTGCCTATGATAATGCAGTGGCGGGATTGCGATCAGCGTGGGGCCACCTCGCCTGGGTCGATTCTGACGTAGGCGGAAGGGAGGCTGGACAGAGAGCAGTCACCGTGTCCCAGGAAGCAGCTGCGCACGCCTGCGGCCTCTAGGCACAGCACTTCCCCCCACGTCCGGCTGGCTGGGGCACTCCTGCCTGCCAGGGTCATGGACCAGGAGGTGCCGGGCAAGGAGGTGCAGTCCTGGGAAGGACTCCCTTGGCATGGTGCCCCGGGCCTGGCCCTCTCCGCTGCTTTTAACCATTCCATTCGCAGTCAGCCTGGGCTAAGGTGTTGGCCTCCAGGGAGGAGATCGGGCTCCACCAGGGCTGTTTCCAGCCTTCATGGGGTGCTCTCTTCCCTGTGAAGGGACCTTCCTTCTCCCCTCCTCCAGGAACCTTGGTGGACGCTGTAGCTGATGGCCCCAGATGACGCTGCAGTGGCTCAGAATGGTGAGCCAGTGTCCGGGCACTCACTTCCTGCCCTGTTTTCTGTGCAGTGTGGTTCACCGGGGTAGATGGTGAGGCTTCACCACGGCCCTGAGAACATTCTGTCGGAGAGGTCAGCTGCTTTAGGGTTGCACCTGCTGTGGCATCAGCCCTTTCCCTAGGAGCACCCCCGGGGGAGATTAAAGCCTCCACACTGACCTCGTTGAAGCCCAAAGAACTGAAACTCGAAAATTAGATTTTTTTTTTTTTGTCATTTTGGAGTTAAAAATCAAAGTCCAAAATTCTTAAGTTATAGAGCAAACAGTGAAGGGAGTCGTGTTCCTCGCAGTTCCTTCGCAGGGGAGGCGCGGTGGCTGATGCCCGGCGTGGGGCAGGCCTGCCTTGTGAGCCGGGGGTCTCAGGGCGGGCTTTCTCGTGACCCTAGCCTGGGGGACACCCTCTCCTCATGTTGGAATGTCACAGGTGAACAGTGCGGCCTGTGACCCTCAAGTGGACGGTCCCATGGCTTTTACTTTGTCGGGGTTGGTCAGGTTTAAGGGACACCGAGCAGGTGGGAGCTGGAGTTGCCCCCGCCCGCTCTGCCCGACTTCCCCTGTTAAGAGCACCTGGCGCTGGTGTGACCCGGCTGTCGGAGCTGACGGGCCAGGAGGTGAAGATGGCTGTCAGGCTCCCTGCTGCCCACGGTCCAGGTTTGGCCAGCGTGTGGCGTCCTTGTCCCTGCCCTCAGCCTCCGCTCTGCTCTGCCTCTCCGCTGACCTTTTAGAAATTTTTAAAAATTTTATCCGTTTTGTTTGTCTTAGAATGCAGACGCACGCACGCACGGCGCACGCATGGCGAGTGAGCCGAGCGCCGCGTGGTTGGAATCCTGCAGAAGGCAGCCGTGTCCCATTGGCTTCCTTTCCCCAGCGGGGAGCCTGGCTGTCTCCGTGGCTGATCTGTGCACCAGAGGCAGGGCGTCGCGGCTGCGTCCAGCGCTTGGCGGGTGGGCAGGAAGCTGCCCGTCGTGTGCAGGCTTTGGAGTGGACCTTGATTTTCGGCTCGCTCGGGCAGGCCCCGCGGAATGACCTTGCCAGTGTCAGGTTTGGTTGACAGCGGCCGTGAGGGAGTGTTCTTGTCGCCCCACGTTCTTGCTGGTGCCGGGTGCAGTCGGGGCTTGGGGTGTGAGCCGGTCCCGGCCTGCTTGCCGGTGTCACCTCCTCGTGACCCACGGGATATGGAGTGACTGTCCCTCGTGTCGTTGTCCGTGGCGTGACCTCCACGCTGGTGTGTGTTGGATGCGGTGTTCGGCAGGTACGTGTGTGGCGAGCATTGCTTTTTTCCTTCTCATTGGCAGCCTGGTTTTTCCGTTCTTGGCAGAGCAGGTATTTGAGTGTTGACAAGGTCTATCCTGGCTGTTTCTCTGGTGGCCGTGCTTGGCCCAAGGCTCGGGCTTGTATTCTGTCCAGTAACTGAAGCTCCTCCTCGCCCGCCTCCTCGGACCTTCCTGTTAGCGAGCACCCTCGGGGCGGGCAGGTCATGGGTCCCTGCCACCCAAGCGGGAGGCCCCGGCTGAGTTCCCGGCTCCTGGCCTGGCCCCGTCTGGAGAGTCAATGGGACGTCTCTGTGTCTCCTCTCTAAGAAACAAAACAAGACAAAACAGAAACCAGACACTTAAAAAGGAATAGTGATAAGGGATTTACTAGAAGCCTGGGGAGCTAAGGACCTCACTGCCAGGGTGGGGCCGCAGGCTGTGGACAGGAAAGGCAGGTGTAAGCGACGGGCGAGAAGCCTTCTGTCTCCCCAAAGCCCCAGAGCTGTCTTCTACAAGCTGTGTGTGGAGTTAGCCTGACCTCATTCTGAGTTAACGGGGCGTGCAGGACCCCACACCAACACGGCCCTGATCCCAGCCCTGATCCCAGCTCTCCTCCTTCTGAGTTAACGGGCATGCAGGACCCCACACCAACAACGGCCCTGATCCCAGCCCTGATCCCAGCTCTCTTCCTTCTGAGTTAACGGACATGCAGGACCCCACACCAACACGGCCCTGATCCCAGCTCTCCATCGTTACCCCGAGTCCAGTGATGTCATTCTACACTGCCGAGATCCCAGCATCTCTGTCCCCCATTGAGCCTGAATACCCCGGCATCTGCCT